TATATCTTTTAGTCGCATCCTCTAATTTGACTTTTTATAAATATTACTTTTTTATTTTTTTTTATTGTTTTAAATCAGGTTAAAAGTTGTAATTTTCCAAACCAACTTGGACATTGTGATTAACATTTTGATGCGTCACTCACATGGATAATAATTGATGATGATATGTAATCGTAAGTTCGTCGAGTAATTGAAAAATGCTTCTCATATACATATACAGAGAAAGTTCATTTATCAAAAACATTATCAGCTTCATTTATCAAAAACATTACCAGCTCTTTGCATCCGAGTTCGGTCTATGTAGCCTCGGAAACCTAGAAAGCTTGCATTTCACCCCAAAGGCAAGCAATCTATAGAGATCCAAGAAAGTGGGGCATGAGCATCTAGCCAAGGTGTGCTCGGCCCCCAATTTTAAACCATCCTCGTTTTAGGTCGGATGGTCTAAGTAAAAAGACAGAGAATCATATTAATTATTATACCACGATGTTTAATTTTTTACTTTCATCGCCAGTAATTCCAACATCATATACTGGAAAGAAGATGAAAAATTCATTGAAGTCATAGACACTGTAATGCCGATGAAGATTAAAAAAGTGAAATTGTGAGCTCCTAGAAAATAAACATTACAGAGTATTTTAATTCGTTGATAGCTTGTTCCCCGATTCCAACAATTTTGCAAACCCCACACACACACACAAAAAAAAAAAAAACAAAGAAGGAATATGAAACTTTTAATACTAAATGAAGGAAAAGAATTGATTTTTTTCAAATAGCACAGACCATGTTCAACTTCGTTGAATAAAAGATGTGATTGCGCGATCGTCCTGCTTGAATACTGTGCATCGGAATTATTATTATTATTATATAGTAGTACTTGAGTTGAGTTTGTTTGAGAGTATAATTTTAAGTTATTTTTTAAAATATTTTTTATTTTAAAATATATTTAAATTATATTTTTTATCTTAAAAAAGTTATTTTTAATAGCAGCACATTGAGATAATTTAAAAATACTAGAAAAATAGCAGCATATTGAGATAATTTAAAAATACTAGAAAAATATAAAAAAAAAATAAAAAATAAAAAAATATTTTTTTAAAATGCTTTAAAGTGTTTGCAATGAAAAATTAACTTCTTTTTAATGAAATTCGAATACCTAATTGTAAAGGAAGGTTGGTGTTTTAAAGGGAAATACAACTAGTAAATTTCTTTTCACCGGAGGGCTTGGGGTGCACGGGACAGAACATGAGTAATTGCAAGGGTATATCTGATTTTGTTTTATTTTCTCTGCGATATTCTATTAAAATGATCATGTGAGTTGAGTTTTATTAAATTCCACAGGAGTTATTTTAGTAATGTCATCCTTAAAATTTTCAATTCGTTCCCATCATATCTGCCTGCATTTCTCAAACAAAAAAACTGAAATAAATTTTCAATTGATTGTATAATTTGTATTTATAATATTTAATCCATGATAAGAAAAATACCGTCCCATGACAGTAATACAGGATAGGATGGCCACCAATTTACTTCAAATACCTCTATAGTTACCATAGGAGAAACATAAAAGAATAAATACAGAGAGATATGCACGTTACAAAACATTTTCATGAAAAATCCTCTAAACATTTCAAGGCAAACACAAAACCTTTAAACTCATGGAAATCTCTTTTATGTAAATAATTTTATTTAAAATATAGTTGTTAAATTCAGTCTCACTGGCTGAAGCATCTAGAATTTAGTTGATTTGTCTTTCAACTATTATAAAAATATTAATTTAAAATTGATTTAATCTGACGAGTTAGCATGTTAAAACCCAATCAAATTTTATTGTTATTTTCAAATGCAATTATTTTATTTTTTTAAATTAACATGAGTCTACCTAATTACATTTATCGAGATGAAAAATTATGATTTGAAACTTGTCGTGTTTGATTTTTTCGCATTTTGGTCAACCAACACAAAACACATCCATAAAGTCAGTTTTTTGAAAAGGTGATCTTGGAAGGGAAAATACATCCACGAAATGAAATGCCAACTCAGCGAAACGAAAAGTCAACTAAGTTTCGAACTCGCAAAGTACAGTACTCAATGAGCATGACCTTCCAGTGTGTTAAAACTAAAAGTGTCAGTTTATGTTTTATCGTTTCGTTACAATCGAAGCAGTTCTCATCCGTGAAGAGCACCGCTCCTTGTTTTTCAGTTTTAAAAATACAAACTTAAAAACACACAGAGCATGTACTGGAATATCTTCCCTCTTACTTTAAGCTTTTTTTTTAATTATATATATATATATATATATATATATATATATAACGACTATTATT